TACTTTTTTTAGCACAGAGTGGAACTGGGACCTGGGATTTTGTGATTTATGGATAAATGGAGAAAATATTGAAATTGTCAAGGATTTCATTTTAATTGGATTGACAATCAATGCTCAAGGAAGCAGCAGTCAAGAAATAAAACAACTTATTGCATTCAGCAAATCCGCTGCTGCAAAATACTTCTTTAAACCATTACAAAACAAAGAAGTCACTTTGAGGAATAAAGTGTGCCTGACCCAAGCCATGGTATTTCCAAAAACCTCATATGCTTGTGAAAGCAGGACAATGAATAAGGAAGACAGAAACATTGAAGTATTTGAGTTGTGGTGTTGGTGAAGAATATTGAATATATCGTGGACTATCAGAAGAACAAGCAAATCTGTTTTGGAAGAAAACAGCCAGAATGCTCCTGCAAAAATGACAGGGGCTGCCAAAAGGTAATGGAAGCGACATCTTCTGACCTCCTTTAACTTCACAAGAGGAAGACAGAATCACTATCAAGAGTCCAAAGCTTATTCCTATGAGGCTAGACATGCTGCCACTCTCCAGCCTTTTACCAATTCTGACACCAACCATCCCTCCCACTCACTACTTCTCTGCTGGGTTCAATAATTCGTTGTAATGGCCACACAGAACTGACAGACAATACTTATGATTATGGGGCTTATTAGGGAAGCAACAGGCTACAAATCACGTTCAGGAACATGCTCAGGATATAATTCTTTGATCAGGACAATCTCCCCTCTGCTGCACCCTGAGATATGCCTCTCTAGCTCTTAGCCTCTTGGCCTGGCCTCTGCCCTGCTTGGGTAAGTATTACAAAGCTCTTTCAGCTCTGCCAAAAGGTATACCTACCTGCACCCCACTCCACCAACAAGTCTCCTGCCCAAAGGCACTCAGCTTTCTCTCTGTGGGCCAGAAAGCCCACCACTCTGACATGTGCCTCTTGGTTACACTGCCGGGGTGTCTCTCTGCTGGGGTATCTCTGTGCTGGGGCATCTTTCAGCCAAGTAAGTCCCACATAGGGATCTCAAGTCCAAAGATGTACTCCAGTTTACCTCCAGCTCTTCTCTCTTGATGGCAGTGAGATCCTTCTCTATCCTCTAGGAAGGCTCATTTTAATCCTGGCAGAGTGATAAAACTAACCAATCCCAACATCAGAATTCTACACACCTTATTTACATGGTCCCACCTAGTAACCCCACAGGAGTTACAAAGACCATGGATAGAAAAGCCATTCAAAGTAATTCACTGCACCACATCTCATTAGAAGCAAGTATGGTCAGACTGTCTCGTATACTTCTGACAAGTTATCAGGAAGAAACAGTCCCTGGAGAAGGACATTATGCTTGATAAAGGAGAGGGTCAAAAAAAAAAAGAGGAAGCCCCTCAATGAGATGCATTGACACAGTGGCTGCAATATTGGACTCAAACATAGCAATGATTGTGAGCACTAATTTTCTACATAGGGTCACTACAGAAGTCTGAAAGAGCGAGGAGTCTTTGTTGCTTCATTTACTGTGTTTGTGGTTGTGCCAGATGAAATTCTTGGCTGAATTTTCACACTGTGTGAAAAAAATATAAATACTTAAATATTAGAATCTTAGTGCATCACAATTCTATGAGAAAACTATGAGAAAAGAATGATTACAAGTGAAAACTATTTACACATTATGAAGAGAAAACCCTTGATGTGTGTCTCTTCTTCCAGACTCAATCCAGGCCATATGCCCTATGCTGGAAAAACCAAAACCAAATCCTTTGCCATTGAGCCGATTCCAACTCATAGAGACCCTTGAGGACAGAGTAGAACTACCCTATGGAGTTTTCAAGGCTGTAAATATTTACAGAAGCAAACTGCCTCATCTTTCTCCTGTTGAACAACTGGTGGGTTTAACTGTTGACTTTCTTTAGCAGCACAATGCTTTAACCATAACGTCACCAGAGCCTTAAAGGCAATAATAGGTAGAGTCTGCTACAATCTTCACATTGGTATTTTGCTTTCACTTATCTATCTATCTTT